CTCTGCAAAGCTCCCATGCAGCATCACACACTGCCGAAAAGCCTCAGCAAAAGACCCAGGTACCCGGCAAAGGCTTGTGCACAATGGTGCGAGTCTTCTCCTTAACTTGCAAAATGAAAATAAAATAAATACTTCTCAATAGTTCTCAAGGCGTAGTGCAGGGCCTTTACTGAACCCCTACTGTCTCACACTTTGCTGAAAAACTGCACAGGCTTGAAGATAAAGTGCTAAGAGGTCCCGAGTTTGGCCACGGGAATAAAGTGTTATACAGAATAACCAAAGCTTTGACCACTGGACTAGCTTTACTCAGAAGATCCAAAGCGTTGACCACTGGAATTAGGTGTTATACAGAAGATTCAAAGCTTTGACCAATGGAATGGTTTTATACAGAAGATCCAGAGCTTTGGCCGCTGGAATAAAGTGCAACACACTCTAGTTTCAGTATTGTATCTTTGTATCCTTCTGTGGCTGGAGTTGCTAGTGAACTGGGTAGAACCCAATGGGTGAAACGGAATTAACTCAAATTACAACTCCAAAGGCCCATCGCTGGTTTTTATCTAAAGCTCAAAAAAGTAGAAACAGCTTCTATAACCCCAAGTTTTCCACCACTACACATTTGCTTTGCCATTCTCCCAGGGTAGCAGATTATGGAATTGTAGTCCTTGTCCTACAGTTAAGTTCAGGAGGATATTAGCACCTTTCATCTGCTTAGTCTTTAAGATAAGTTCCCCGCCAATTCCTTTAACTGCCATTTGGCTCACAGGCAATCAAGCAATACACCTGGTGAAGGAAGGGTTACATTATTAGCGGCGGCACTACAACCCATTTAAAACAATTTATGGAAGAAAGGAAAGGCCACTTTCACCAGTGAACCCCGCATGCAAAAGGGGAAAAGTAGCAACTGCTGGGGACAATAATGGGTATTCATGGGCCAGACCATCGAAAAAAGCGTAGGGCAGCATCATTTAAGGAAACTCTTAGACTAATGTTGGTGCCTGTTTGCTACTAATTCAATCAGGTGTGACGAAACATCCCCCTCCTGTCTTTATTTATTAAATGAGGTGAAAACTCGGTTAATCGCACTGTTAAGACTCTGAACTATCCATTTCAAGGCTTGCTCCCAGCCATTTTAATTTTCAGAGAATCTTGTTTATGCTGTGTTGTTGGCATGCCGGATCATCATTTCACAGTCGAATTGCGTACTTCAGATCAAGACAAGTTGGAAGGTTGAAGAGAGGTTAACAGCTTGTTAGCTACTTTCTGACTCATTTTCGGCTCCTTTTCTGTCTCCTTTTAAACTCCATTTTAACTCCTTTTGGACTCTTTGTGAACTCCCCTTTAATCTTCTGGCAAAAACGCCAAGTTTATAAGGATACTAAACAAATGACGAGCGCTAATAAGGGAGTGAGAAGCCAAAGTGAGATTTTGTTGCTTGAATTCGCAGTAGGTGGAAAAGCTTAAAGACTTTTTTTCCTTCCCCACAAAATGCAATGTTTCAAGTTTATGCACTTGAGCCTACTTTCTCCATCGCAGCACTATGTTCAGCCTGAGGACAATTAAGAGCTTGCTGGCTCATTGCAGGAGTTTGAGTTGATATATCTAATGGAGACTCGGCTCACACATTAAGGCTACATGCAGCGGAAAGTGCCTGTTTTCTTTTGTACAGAGTAGGAAATATATTTCACGAAAGTTCTTGGGACAATTTTTGCGGGGATATACTAGGCCTCTAGGAAGCTGTAGGAAGCTACCATTTTTCTTTGTGGGGGCGTGTGCTGTTCTTTAGAAGGCTGCAACAAAGCTACTGTCAGGAGTTCTTTTGAAGCAATTTCGTAGTCGTGAAGGCTAATTCCGAAAGGCTTTGTTTAGAGGTGCCATTGGGTGACCGAAAGACTAGGGGATATTTGCTAAAAACAAAAAGTATTGGACAGCTGTGGCCAGCTTGGCGTTGGGAGATTAGTTAGTGTCGCCTCCAGGCAGAGAAACCATGGACTTCATTTACTGTTGAGTTAACAATCACAGTTGCTTGGAAATTTTAAGGGAAAAAGTGGCCATTGCCGTCTGTCAACGCCTTACTGAGCCATGGCCTCACTATTGCCTTTTGTCGAAGTTCATGGTGTTCTTCAGCCGCTGCTTTATAGCTGACGAAATATCTAAACAATTGTTTAATTAAAAAGCTGCTTGTTTCACTGAGAACGCAGAAGTATGCAGCGGAATATGTAATGTTTGCAGGGCACCACTTAAAAATGCGCAAGACGACAAAGGGCGCGTCTTGGCGTGTGCTGGATATTTTCTTGCGAAAGTTCTGCGCAACTGTGTCAATTCGCTCCATTACAAAGATGAGGACTGGTGAGCAGCAATTAAATCAGTAGTGCTGGTATATTTTTTCTGTTGTACAGATTTTTCCTGATGTGCAGGCATGTCCCCTTTCTCGTGGCAATTATGCTTTCTGTTGATGTGCAGTAGAAGACTCAACGCACTGCAAACTCATTTATAGCAACTCTTCAAAAGCGCCTCTACTGTAGGTTTGTGCTCATCTATGTTAAAAATAGAGGGTATGCTTTTCAAAGCGTGAGTACCGCCGGCCCCTATTTATGGACTTGCGTGCGGTTCCCACGCAGCAGCTTCAGGTGTACTGTTTTTAAAATGACCTTTTATATTCCATTTGTATATTTTCTATTAGTTTTGTTTCAGACGCGTGCCTTAGAGAGCCAGGAACAGCAACTTCTCCAAACGTAAATGCTTCGAAATTTTCACACTGCCTGTTGCCTACTATACCCCCATGGCACTCAACTCCTGTTCGTCTAAATATACATGCAATGGGAAGCTTTCTCTTGGGCCACCGCGGCTACTGAATCCAAGCTGGCTGGAAAGCCAGGGTGATGGAGTCACACAGAGCATTCGACTTTACTTGAAGTGCTATCACGACAACTTGAATGAGGGCAGCTAAGTTAGTTTGTGCCAACTTTGATTTATGAGTAAGTCTTTGACTCCTACAACGTTCGACTGCCTATAGGAGTCCACGATGGATTAGTTTATGTGGGTTCAGAGCGGCCCAAAGGGAAGAAATTAATTTTAAAAGGCACATAGAGGATAGTGCAACAAAAGCAGCAATCTCGTTTTCACTCATGAGCTGCTGACGTACACCACCTGCACAGTCTGGGGGACTCATTGGAGGCCCGATCGGACTCTGTCGCCGCAGCACAAAGCCAGGAAGTAAAAAAATGTAATTCATCAATTTTATCAGGGATTCCTTGCAAGCTGTTTACACTTTTAAGAGCTTGAGAAAGTTGAAGAGCCAAGGGTTGGCGCAAACTGTTACTCTGCGAGTTAGAGCTTAACATGGAACTCAGTCGCCCAGCGTGGGCTTTTCCCAGTGAGCAATGATCCTCAGTGCGAATCAAAGTACACAAAATGAGATTTTAAAGGAACTGTTGTAGTAAAACCTTTTACGGGTCTTTTGCTGTTTTGCTTCTCCTTCGAGCAGGGTGTATGCGTCCCGCTCGCAGGAGAATCTTTTCTGCACTCTGCTTTGTAGCAGAGTGTAGAAAGAGGCTCGTGAGCTGCGCACTTCGAGTCAGCCAAGCCATTCCGACAGAGTGCATTTTTAGCAAACTACGATATTGTATTCTTTTTCGGGGCTAGGATTCCCCAAAAGTGGCGGGTTCCGTGCTAGTAAAATGGCTTAGCCGATTATCACAGAACGCTTAAGGGTAATGGTGCTTATGAATTATTTATGACAGTTCCCTTACATTACTGTGGTATCCTTATTTAGAAGCCGCAGCTCAGTACAAAGGCTGTGTATCACCAGAGCCTTGCCCCTAGCCCCAAGATAGTTTCTTTTGCAGACAATCAGAAGAGAAAGTTTATGGACGGCTCAGCGTCTGGTTCCCGAAACATTTAGAAGCGCATTTGGTGAGAAGGTAGCCGGGAGCTGTAGGCCTTTGACTTCTTGACAATATGAATCTTTCAAAAGGCAAAGGCATTCGGAGCCCGCGCTGACAGTTTTCGTGTCCAAGACGTTCATATCCTACCAGGCAGTAAAGAGGAGCCCTCGGGTAGAAGCAGTTAGTGAGCAAGTGAAGTTGTGTCTAACGCCAGACAGAAGGTGGGGCATCTGAGCAGCACTATTGTTCTTAAGAGAACGCCAGCTCCCATCTTTTGGCTGAGTTTTACGAGGCAAAGATGGAATTGACAAAAGGTTGAAAGGTTCGGCACTCCGCCTAGCTTTTAAACTTTAAGAAATATGCGAGGCTGATGCCAAGTGGAACTTCGCTGTGGTAGCCATGCCTCTACATGTAAAGCCTCCTGTTGCGTTTCTTGGTCTGAAGGCCTGATCTGACTGCAAGTACTGCACTTGTTCTGTCAAAACAGACTTAGTCCAGCTTTGCTGGTATCCTTTTTGTCTTTGGACAGTACTCCACCTGAACATGAGCTTGCAACATACCTCCTAAATAAACCTTTTTGGTTACCAAAGGCATTTTTCAGTGAGGCGGCTGCCAGCTTTAAAAAGTTCTAATGTGTTGTACGAAGTGTGTGCACTGGTTTTGCAAAGTGTTGACTCCATGAGACCTCTCGGAAACTTCAAGAGGAGCACAGTCCTCATATCACCGTGGCTTTTGTCTTAAGAAGCATCCGTCGTATTGCAAAAGGCATTTAATTGCATGAGCTTCAAAATGGTGTAAAAATTAAAACCACTCCACAAGAGCCAGTAGAACCCACTTCTGGGATTCACTCGCACGTGTATCTCTGATATTACTCACGACGCTATACTTGGCTCTACTTCATTTGTATTGCTTTTTATAGAGCAATTCCTCCTTATTTTGAGGGTTTGAAGAGAACAAACAAACGCTTATTGCTAGCGATTTCGGGGACAACACGAAAGCTAGCACTCTGTTTTTGTTGTCCTTTTGTAAACACAGTTGTCTTTTTCTGAAAAAGCCGGCTTCTGTCGAGGCCAGAAAATAGAGACCTCAAGAGTTCCCCCTGGTTTGCTCTTGCCTCTATTCATGCACTTCGGCTGGTTCTTCAGCGGGCTCACAAGGTTCGTCTGCTGCTGCATTTGCTGCTGCATTTGCTGCTGCAGCTAAAGCTTCTGCTTTCTTCTCGTCAGCCAGCCTCTGGAAGATGTTAGCCAGGGCAAGTAGAGGATTGAAGCCCCCAGGTGCTTCCTCTTTGTGCTTCTGCACATCCCACAGAAACCCACTTCGCCAGGCTATTACAATTCTATTAATTATTGTGCAAATCTTAGTTTCTACAATTAAGCACCTAAGCTGCACTTGGCGATGTGGAATTCGCATCTAAAGTGAATAGCAGCCATCTAGTGCAGCAGCAAAAGGCAAGTGATTTGGTGCCTATAAAACTTTTGCCTACAGGCAATTGAAGCTCTATTTTCACATCTGCCGAGAGTGCTTTTTCCTCGAGAAACTTTCTCCGCTCCTTGTGAAGAGCCAACAAGGACATTTGCAGCGACCCGTCTTCGTAGGCCAAAAAGAGCAGCTGAAATAACGCAAATGCCGCTAGAGAATGCAAAGTTTTGAAGTTTTGCAGAAGTTCTCCTCCCAATTGTCTCAGTAAGATTTATCTTCCTTGATGTGTGCCTTCATTTTACTAGGACACCCTGCAGCTGATTGGCCCACAGAAGTCCAGCAAAATACTGTGCTGTTGTGCAGAACCAAAAAAGTCACCATCTACCGAGCAGCCGCAGTCTCGACTTTCGGCTGCCTACAGATGCATGCGTTCAGCAGGAGACGCTCTTTATTTGCATGACAGCACCCAGGATTGTTCAAAAAAATAAAAGTAAAACTTCGAGTGGTTTGCTTGCTAGGGCAGAAGATGCGGGGTTTTGCTTCTCTGTAGTACCTCTGTCAGAGCCTGAGACAGCAGCAGCGAGGGATACAGAAGATATTGACAATTTAGTTCTTTAACTGGGACATTCTTTTCTAATTATTCTCTAAACAGCTGGTACTGCATGCATGCTGCGCTGCCCGCTGGGGCTGTGTGTCCACTCGTGCCTGTTGGATTGTTGGAAGAAGATTGGCTTTTACGTATTCAACGCAGGGTGCCTCCGCAGGTTCTGTTTCTTTGCTGCACTGGTCAGCAAAGAAAAGTGCAAATGGCACTTCAGCTGCGGCCTCTTCATTCTCGCGAGCACCAGAAACTGAATTTCGATTGCTACTCGTGTCACCTTCTTCTCCCTCTGCTTCTCTGTTCTCTTTTGTACTTAAACGAGTCACGCTACTGCCCCGGTGGTTGGGAGCGCCAATGTTGTAAGAACTTTCTCGGTCAGCCACTAAGAACAGAAACAATGGAGATAGCAGTCAACTCATGCAGTGCACTTTCTTCTCTGAATTTCCAGAATCTCTAATTATATTTTTAAAAAGATTGAAGACTTTCCCCTTTTTTGGTTATTTGAATTCCGCGTTTCACCCCTCAGCGGGATTTTCACTGCTTTGATCGTACTGCCCTACAAAGGTGTCAATAGGCTTCATTCCTTGGGTAAATCTGCTTGTTCTATTAAAGTTGTTTTTCCAGACAAGAAGTTGTAGTAATTAGAATAGTATTTAAAACTTTTGACTTTATTTTCGGGTCTGCTCACTTATTATTAGAGTATTAGAAGCCACTACTAATTCGGGTGTGCTGGCGCATGCAGCTTTATTTTTGTCCAGGGCTCACTGCTGTAGTGAGATCAAGTTGTTCCCATTTGTCTTTCTTTGTCTTTTTATTTTAAAAACTGCAGTATAGACTTAGATTTCGAATTTGCAGCGACTGCAGGCCAGGTGTGCTTCTGGAAGGAAAATGGGAAAAGTCGCTACTGCGTAGCGCATGCATCTGAGCGGGGCTGAGGCTCTATTTGCAAGATCTATTCCAGTCCTGAACAAATTAAAAGCTGCAGTATCTTTTTTTTAATAATAATATACCTCCATCTCACGAAAATAGAGCTAAGTTCTGGCCTGAGTGTTGACCTTTGGTTTCAACAGCACCCCTTGAAGGACAGACAGAATCATTTACTAGCCGTAGTTAAGAACAAAAACAAAAGAAGATGTTAAAGCTTCTTCTGCATCTAAAGAATTATTTATTTTGCATATGAAGAATTACGTATTTGCCAGTTCAAGACTGCACACATCTGCATAGGCCTTTTGCTCCAGAGTGCTTCTCACTGTGAAACCCGTGGGCCAGTGGCTTTCTTTGCAAATTCTGTTGTAAGGCAAACCTCTTCTTTCGAAGGGCTAATCAAACTCAATTCAACTTAATTTGTTTATTTAAAATGAAATAAATAAGTCCCTCAGTTTAGCCATTTATTTTCAAAATTGACTTAAAAGCCAGTTGACAGGATTTCTGCAGCGGCAGTCCTATACTATTTTTCTGCGTTTTTTGTTTGCTGAAGTATCCCAGAGGATACAACAATGAACTTTAACCATTTTTGGTTTTTGAAAAAATGCATTTTCTTTGCAGTTTTAAATGTTCTACGTATTCTCGAGTCAGCCAAATGTAATTGCAAAGACATAGTGGAGCAAATATTGCGAGAATGTAATTTGCAATAAAATAAAAAATAGCATTTACTGCCATTTACCACACGCACTATTTGAAGGAAAAATAAAAAGTGCATGCAGTATTTCAGAGGCAAGAAATTGCCTTCAACTTCAGCTCGCCAGTCTCAGTTTGAGTTTAGAGCCCAGCACTTTGAAAGCCTGTGTACTTCAAGTTGTGATATTTCTGAGTTACTGCAGTCGCTATTTAAATTTTAACTACCGCCAATTTTTATTTAAATCTTCTATAACTTCAACTGCAGCTCATGCATCGGGAATCTTCTCTAGAGAATAGTATGTACTTGTGTGACTGAGGGCTTTATAAAGAGCCTCTCTAGGCACTTTGTGATCCAGTAAAAATGCCACAGGCAAACAGTTAAATAGAAGTAGGTGGCAAAACTATTGAAGATAGTGCAGGCCAGCAGCACTTTGTAAAAGACAGTGTGGTGGCTTGTGGGGCGGGTGTCCTTGGACTATTTCTTCCTTTTGAACAACTCATTTCCCCCCAACTACCAATTTAGAAGCACTCTATAAAGTCTTAAATGCCATTTCAATTACTTTTTGAGCTAACACTGGAGCGAGGTGGTGGTGGCCCTGAGCAGATCCTAGCCAAAGGGAAATGTCTCAAGCATTTTGCATTGAGAGTGTCTTTGGCCACATAAAGCATACTACTTTAAAGCCAGGGGAAGCCTTGGCTTTGAAGTAATATATCTTTTAAAGGACTAAGGGAAATTTTTAGGAATTAATGCTGCGGCTTCCCTTGCCTCCATTTAGCTCTCAGTGTGAGGACGGGACTATCCTTGACTTTATATGTACTTAACTCCAACTTTCCCCTTTCAACTACTTTGAGACCTTTTCAGTCACCGTAAACTAATTCCAAAAGGCAAAATAAAAAACTCAAATTCACCCTCGCACAACTAGCACATGAATCTACAGGCTGATATTGAGGTACTCGAAGGGAGCTTTGCACAACATGGTCTAAAAGGGCTGCAGCATTTTTTTTAAAAATTTGTGGCAGCCCAATTTGTCTTGAGGGATTTTTAAAAAAAAGCCTTTGCAGAGAAAATTTAAGTTGAGCTAATTGCTGCTGCGCCTGTTCTTTCTGCAGCGGGAGTCTTGCGTTCCACAGAACTGCGAAGAAATACTTTTAGGGCAAAAGTGGTATATTTGCGTAATAGGAAATTTAATATAATAACAAGTAATTTGCTGAACTTGTTTGATTTGCTGGTTAGCAGCTAGGCACTAAGACCGGGCACAAGCCCTTGCCACTGCATGCGCCACCAAGCGAATTTGTTTGTTGAGTCCTAAGACAGTTTAACTTCAACTTTTCTGCAATATATAGATGATTCAGAAACCCTATTGACTTTAGAAAAAAATAAATAAAGATTTAAGTCCACGGCTAAGACATTAGTGGGCGAAAAACTGAACAAAGAAAGTCCCATGGAATGCTGACTGAGCTGTCTGTGCAGTCGACTATTTGCCCGTGGCTGTACATACCGCGCAGCGTAATGGACCACAAAAGTACTTTAAAGAACAAAAATGATAATAATTAATTGTCTAATTTAAAATTAATTTCCATCAAACGTCAAAGACCACCTGCGTGCTCTAGCAGCTCGAGTTCCCTACTATTACTGAGTGAGGCCATTGTGCACACTAGAGCTACAGAATTTTCTAAAGTTCAAATCTTTAGAAGTTGGCACTCCAGAACTTCTGGCTTTTCAAATTTAGTAATTCCGTTTTTTGTTAAACACTTGCGGAGTCTTATAGCGCATTAGGCGCTGCTCTAGACAGCAGTTTACAAAGAAAAACAAATAACTTAAACTGCTCTTGGTGACTTTCAGTAACAGCTTTTGCATTAATTGAAACTTCGTAACTTTTGACTGATCTTCTATTTCTCAACTTGGGACCTTCAGCTGCCTTTGCCTGTTTTTGAGCTGTTTGGTTTTTAATTTTTCCCTGAAGGATTATTCTGGATAACACACCTTTTCCCAAATAAATTAAATTTATTATTATTATTACAATTATTATTAATATCATTATTATCATCATTGTCACACTATTATTATTATTATTATTACTATTATTATTATTTTTATTGTGGCACTATTTGCCACGCATATGCTCCAGGGCAAAAAAGCTGCAAGAAATTGCATATAGCTAGCTGCCGCCCAGCAGCCGCGTAAAAGGAGTTTCGAAAGCTAGTTGTGGTTCAAATTCACGTTTTGAAAACATTTTAAGTGCAAACTTCTAAATAGCAGCAGGAGAAACAGACTTAATAATTTGCCACTTTTCCCGGCCTCTGGCTTGTCTCATGTGCTGCTGCTGCTTCGAAAGACAATGCTTGGAGGGTCCCAGGGTGTTTATACAGCGCAGCTGAGGCTGCTGCAGCGAAGGGGAAGCAGAAAAGAAAAGACAGCAGCAGCAGCAGCAGCGCCGCTGCAGCTGCAGCGCGGGCTGCTGGGAGATTCCAGGGGCCCTCAAATCAACCACATATGACTCCCTCAGCCCTGTCTCCCAATGGGGATCAGCTCTTGCAAAATATATTAACTGAAACTGCAGTTCCAAAGAGGGGGGGGGCCCCATGAGTACCACACAGCCTGGGCGAGGCTGTACCCTTGTCTGCAGAGCCACGGGCAGCTACGGGGGCCCCTGGAGCCACAGAAGGGCCCCCGATGGCCTCTTTTGCACTCTTTACATCCACAGAGTTTATTTGTTTAAAAGAACTCGATGAGATTAACTACATCGTAGAGATGTGCCGGGCTACTCGCAAGTTGGTGTGGTACTAGCCGCTCCCCCGAGGCTCCCGCGCTGATGTAGGCGCTCACCGCACCGGGCTGGGCGAAAGTCACTTCATTTTGCATTTAAAAACAGAATTTAAATGAACTAAGGGAAATTAAAAATGACTAACAGCAGCAGGGGCCTGAGCAGCAGACAGGGGAGCCGCGGCGGTGGAGGCTGTGCAGGGGGGGCGCGCAGGGCTCATTTGGGAGGTTTGGCGCCGCGGATAAAGGCTCGAAAGACTCAATTAAACGTTTAAATAGTATATAAATAAAAATGAATTGGAAAATTAGAGCAAAAGGCGGAAAAGAGAGGCAGCAGGGGGTCCCGGGGCACACTGTCTACTCAGCAGGGCAGCGCCGCTGCTCCAGAACCCACAGCGCTGCAAAAGGCATGGCTCTGGGGCGCCCCGCTTGCGGCGGAGTTGTTGGGGCGTTTTAAAAGAAAGATTTTGAAGTTTAAATTTAAAAAAAAAATAAAAAAATAAATTGGATATAACAGACAGGGCCAGGGAAGGAAGGGGAGGGCAGCAGGGCGCGAGGCAGCAGCAGCCTCACTTGCTCTCCCAAGTGCCCATAGCTGCAGCAGCAGCAGCAGCAGATGGGGCCTCAGGCTTTCTGTTAGGATTTGCTTGCAGAGATCTGCTGCTAACTGGGTCTTTTTATCTTTTCTTTTGCGTTTTCTAATTAGATCTCGGGGTTAAATCCTTCGAGCCGGGCTGCAACGGCCGGCGCGCTGCTGCTGCTGCTGCTGCTGCTGCTGTTGCTGTGAGGCGTGTCAAGAGCAGCAGCAGCAGCAGCAGCCCTCGCGGCCCGTGCCTGCCGCCGCTTCTCGCCGGAAGCCTGCAGCAGCAGCAGCAGCAGCAGCAGCAGCCGTGGGCTCTTGTCTTTCAGATTTTGCAGCTTCTTGCTGCGCTCTTTGCCCCTGCCCCCGCACTGGAGCAGCAGCAGCGCAGCGCCACAGCCTTCTAGGCCAATCTGTGTGTCCATTTAATTCTTTCTTTTTGTTGCTTTTCCCTTTTGCAGTGTCGCCCTCCTCCGTCGCTGCTTCTCTGCGCCCAGCAGCAGCAGCGGCAGCAGCGCCTCCTCCCCACCCGCAGCAGCAGCAGCAGCAGCAGCAGCACCGCACCTGCCCCCGCCGTGGCCCCTGCGTTCTGCAGCCTCTGACTGAGCCTTACCAGTCCCTGCCCCCCTCTGCGCCGTCCCGCAGCTTCTCCGCTGCTGCTCTGCTGCTCTTGCTGCTGCTGCTGCTGCTGCTGCTGCGCAATGGGGAAGTCCGAGCTGCCGCTGCCGCCCCTCTCGGGCTTCCCCTCGCTGGGCGACGGAAGCAGCAGCCCAGTGGCCCCCCCAGTGCCCGCAGGGGCCTGGGGTTTGCGTGCTGCAGCAGCAAAGATAGCAGCAGCAAGGGGGGCCCCCAAGGATTCGGAGGGGGCCCCCGCTGCTTCCCCAGCAGCAGCAGCAGGAGCTGCTGCTGCTGCTGTAGAGACCCTTAAACCCGCAGAGGGCGCCTCCCAGGACCCTCAGCCCCCGCCTCCCGCGCCTCCCTCCTCTCCCAAGCCCCCTGAAGAGGCCTCACCAACAGCAGCAGCAACAGCAGCAGCAGTAGCAGTAGCAGCAGCATCAGCAGCACCTGCTGCTGCTGCAGCAGATGCGGGTCCCGCTGAATCCTCCGCCTCTGCTGCCGAGTCCTCCGCAAGGGAAGACAGCAGAACCCCCGCAGCTCCGGCCTCCCCCACGCCGACGAGCAGCAGCAGCAGCAACAGCAGCAGCAGCAACAGCAGCAGCAACAGCAGCAGCAGCAACAGCAGCAGCAGCAGCGGGGACCAGCCCGCGTCGCCGCTGCCGCCGTCGGCCTGGTGCCCAGAGCTGCCGCCGAGCACCCCCAGCAGCAGCGACGCCCCCAGCAGCAGCAGCGACGCCCCCAGCAGCAGCAGCGACGCCCCCAGCAGCAGCAGCGACGCCCCCGGCAGCAGCAGCGACGCCCCCAGCAGCAGCAGCACGCCCAGCAGCAGCAGCAGCAGCAGCGAAGCCTCGTTGCGGCACTTTCTCTCGCCGCTGTCGCGGGAGCAGCTGCTGGACCTGCTGTCGTGGGCTGCGCTGCGGGACGGCGCGGTGTACAGACACTGCGCGGACCGGGTGCACGCGTCGCCGGCGTCGCGGCGGCTGATGGTGCGAAACGTTCATTTTTGCACTTCTGACGAGCGTTTTTTGGCGTTTTTTCGCACTTTTGGTTGCGTTGCAGACGCGTTAATAGTTCGGGAGCGAGACGGGCAGAGCAGGGGCTACGGCTTCGTGACTTTCGCGTTTCCGGAGGGGGTGTCGCGGTGCTTCGTGGCGTGCCCGCTCACGCTCGACGGCCGCCAGCTGCAGGTGATCCGCGGCTAAGTCCCGCGATCTCGCGCGTAATTAAGCAAAATAAAGCATTTAAAACACAAATAGCGCAAGTTGGAGCGAAAAGGGCGGCCGGAACCCGCCGGATCGCGTGTGCATGCGCGTGCGCAGGTGAAGCTCGCGGCCGACCTCTTCGCCGCGAAGGACCAGACCAAGCTCTTCGTGCGCAACCTCCACGACCAAACCACTTCCGAAACCTTAAGAAGAGTTTTTGGAGTCTTCGGAGCTCTTCAGGAGTGCGTGGTGGTGCGGGACGCAGAGGGCCGCAGCCGCGGCTTCGGCTTTCTGAACTTCTCCACGCCCATGGAGGCCTTCAAGGCCGTGCAGATGAGCGAGCGCATCATCGACGGCCGCATGGTCTTCGTGCACTTTGCTTCCTCGGCGCGCAGCAGCAGCAGCAGCAGCAGCAGCAGCGGC